TGCACATCAGTGCAACAGAATGTTGACGAAAACGGATGAGAACTCCACTCAAGCTGTTTAACATGTCAGGGCCAGAGAGTAGATGGTCGTTTAAGCTGGTACCTTTATATCTGGCTGAGCAGTCAAACACAACACGAAGTTTGTCTGGCTTTTGTGCATGGGGAATATACCATCTTTCCCCCTCGCCCCCACCATTCTCAATATGTTTTGCTTCTCCTATTTCGATGACCTCTTCCATAAATCTGATGTACTGCTCTTTATACCTTTCATCTCATTGCAGTTTCCTTTTAAGGTGATTAAGGCATACCAATGCTGCATCTCTGTTGTCAGGCAGGTTAGGTCTGATTTTGAATGGCAGAGGCATTTCGTAATGACCATGTATGTTTTTCTGTATGCCTTCATTTAGCTTGTTGAGAAAGGTGATGTCATCTTGTGAGACTGTTTTGGCATCTTCGCTTCCTTCATTAAAGTCAGATTCCAAAATGTGGATCACATCAACAGGAGTTGCAGGAGGTAGCTCTTGAACAGCGATTCTACGACAGAAACTACTTCTGCTCAGCACATCATAACCATGTGAAGACGGTCCGACAATGCTCCATCCCAAGTCTGTCCGTATAGCATAGGGTTCTTCATCTCCTCCTAGAATGACTTGCCTTGGGGCCATGGCACTAGAGCAGTTGTAGCCAATCAGGAGTCCCACTTCACAGTCTTTTAGTGGTTGAATTTTTTCAACTATTTCTTTGAGATGACTCCATTGTTTAGCTGACTCACAAGTAGGAATGTGAGCACGGTTCACCGGTATACAGTCCTTTGTGTAGGTCCTCGGCAGATTGACTTGAATGGCGGAACTGTATCCTCTTACACATAGTCCTGAAACACACTTGTTTGTGATAACGGTATCCATTCCACTCATGGTGGTCAACTGGATGTTTGTCTGCCTCAAGACCATCACTCACTGCTTGGTCGATAAATGTAGTGTTGCTCTGGGTATCAAGAAGAGCATAAAAGAGTTTCTCAGCAGCTGGGTTATTTTTAGAAGATACCCACACTGGAATCACCATCAATGTGTTGGATGAACCTTCTGCTGCTACACTGAGCAACATTGCAGCAGGACCTTGACTTATCCCCATTTCTGAAGGGCTTTCTTTAGCATAATTGGAGTCATGAAGGGCTGTTGGATGCTTTCCCTTACAGATGTCACAGTAATGACAATGGCGGCAGTCTTTTGCGCCGTGACCGGGTTTTAGACATCCATAGCAGGGTTTATTTTCCTTTACATAAGTCCATCTTTCGATCAACGACATCTCTGTGAATTTGGAACACCCATGAAGTTGGTGTGTGGTATCTCGACAAAGAATACATGAAATCTTAGCCTTTCGGTAGTCCGACTTTTGTTCATCTTCATTTGCAACTGTTTGAATAGTAAAAGCACTGGCCTTGTTCCTCTTTTCATCTCGGACATTTCTCCTTTCAGTGCTTGAGTCTGATAGATGAAGAGCATACAAAGATGCAATGGGATTGCAGGCAATTGCCGCTTCAGTTGACAGAAAACTGGCAAACTCCTTGAAACTGGGGAATTCTTGCTTCTCATTCAAGCTTTGTGTAGCTAGATGGTTCCAGCGTGAGGTCAGCCAGTCTGGTAATTTATGGATGAGTTTCTGATTTTCCTCACAGTCGTTCAATATGTCAAGTCCCTTGACACGAGGCATGGCATCTTGACAGGCATTCAGAAAGTTTGAGAAGTTTCTAAGCCCTTCAGCATCCTTAGACTGAATCCTTGGCCATTTGTAAAGCCTTTCTCTAAATGCTCTCTGAATAACGAATGGCTGGCCAAAACGATGATTCAATTTTTTCCAGGCATCTTGATATGCCTCATTATCACTTCGATAGAAGGTACCATCCAGAACCTGGTGTGCTGGCCCACCAACGTATTTTCTGAGATAGTAAAAGTAAGTTTTTCTGCAGGAGTGGTATGACCTTTGGTCGACAGCGAAGTAAATGCTGCCTTCCATTCAATGAACCGTATTGGATCACCACTGAAAACAAATGGCTCTGGAGCAGGAAGTCTATTTAAGGCTAGGCTGTCTTGAAAGACCCGAGTGAGAGATGAGATATCAGTACCTGAGGGTGTGGTGACATAAGGGGGGGGGGGGGGGGGGGGGGGTGTAGTAATTGCAGTAACATGCACTTCCTTTGTTTCCTTGTCACTTTCATCGTTAGTATAGTAGGATGAGTCCCCTTCTGCCTCTTTATCGTAGACCTTCAGTTTAGCTCGGGCTGCCTGCACCTCCTTTTTTGCCTGTAATCGCTCCAATTCGAATTTTTGAGCCTCTAGAGCCTTACGATGTTGTTCGTCTAACTCTCGTATCAATTCCCTTTGTCTTTCTTCCACTTGTAGCATCTCATAGCTTGCTTCCTTCGCTGCTAGTTCAGCTGCTGCATGCGCCCGCTTGGCTAATAGTGACGATGCGACTGAATGATGGCCTGACTTGTAACTTGTCATGGAGGAGGCAGATCCATAAATGGATTTTGCATAGTCATGACAGAGCAGCTCGTGAATGCGGCGTCTCTCCTGGTTTTCATCAAATTCAGCTTTGTCGTCTATCGCTCTGTTGTGAGCAATGCTGATGATTTCGGTGGTCACTGAAACACAAGTGTAAACTCGTCTTCTGATGTCAGTGGAAGGTGTAGCAAGATCTCGAATTTCAGAGTATATGTTTGTTATGTCTATTTGACTCCTCTTAAGTTCCTCGATAAGAAGCCAGAGCTCACTCTCTTGCATGTACATCTTAAGCTGGTTTCTTGCCTTGCGAATTTGCAGCTTTCATTTCTCTTACATGGATAGCAGCCCTTTCTCCCTTTTCTTGGCCTCTTTATCCTGGTGCAGTAGGACTTTGTTCACGTCCTGAGCGACGGAGACCCTCAAGTAAGTCACCGTTTGTCTCGACGTTGTTCTCCAAACCTAACCTGACAGAAGGATCTGTGGGTATGGGGAGCTCATTCCCTGGCTCCTGAACTTGCTTTTCCAGCTCTTTATCAGTAGTTGACTCTGCCATTATTGACTAAATATTTAAACATTTAAAATTGATTGAAAACCTTTTAACTAATATAGTCAAACCACACAATAAGAACAGCATAGGAACAGCATAAAACCCAAATAAATAGGATAAAGGCACAAACACAAAGACCATTAATAACTGCAAAAGCAAAGAGTAAAATAAACACAACTTTCAAAGAACTTATACCGCAAAGTCCAGTGTGAAAGGAAAAATGTCCTTAGCTATAAATTGTCCAGTTATATCATGCAAATGCTGTAAAAGTTCCTCGTTGCGTTTTGTTGAGCAGGTAAATTTTAACTGTTCATTGATTTAGTTCAGTGTCTTTCATCCATGGTCTGTATAATTGCAGATCAATCACAATTCAGCTTCAATTTCTCCAGCTGTTACCATACTTGATCGTTGCACCAAATCCTTGTGTCTGCTGCTTGGTTCATTGTAGATCAGGCTCCAACGCATGGAAACGTGCTGCTTGATAAATCCGCATGGGCAACAAGTGGCGATGACATGGTAGCAGTAAAGGGAAACATACCATGAA